CATATTTTCCATAAAAAAATTTTTTTCCAGGGTTTTGGTTTAATTATTAATTTGCTCTTATTAACAATAATAGTGTATCTATTATTTTCAAAATTAATTGCAAAAAGGATTTAAAAAATGTGTGGTAATTTAAATATGAATTAATAAAAAAAAAATTGAATTGCATTATTTTAAATTAAAATTGTATATAGTAAATCATTTTTCTAAATTAATGAAATTCTAACTCTCTAACTTTTTATTGCAATTGGGAATAAATTGGGAATAAATAAATGAAACGTTTTCAGTTATTAAATCATCTTACGATAAATAGTTTGACTTATATTTTTCAGATTAAATTCAAACCAAAAATGCTGCTATTATTTTTAACAAAATTTTATTTTGCCCATATAAAAAAGATCAAATAAACATAAATAAATATTTAATGAAATATGTTAACATATAACGTAGTAAAAGTATACATATCCTTCTGTATTTTAAAAGTATATATATTTTTAATTATGCAAATTACTAAAAAGAATTGTTATTTAAAACTAATTATTTATCCCAATTTAACATCAGTATAAATATTTATATTTTCATATATTATGCATTTTAAAAATATATATACTTTCTGCTGTGTAACATGTATAAAGATAAAAAAAAATTTATTTGAACAAATTATATTTAATTTCCATTTGTATTATTAATTATTAAAAATATATGTGCATAATATATATTTTTATAATTAATTATATTCAGACACATAAAGTTCTATTAAACATATTTTTTTGGTAAATTTTATGAATATATACATATACATATTTATGTCATTTTAAACTAAATTCAAACTGCCAATGTTTGAATGGCCAATGCCATTTAGAATCAATGTTATTTTATTATGAAAGTCTTTCTAACTTTAATTTAACTTTTTAACTTTATTATAAATTAACTATTTCAGTTAAAAATATTCCCAATTATTATCCTTTGCAAAAATATAAAAAACAATTGTTGATTTGTGTAGATTTTAAGGCAACATAATTTGTTTATATTACAAATCTTTAATTCAGCTTAAAAATAAATTAATACAAGTTTTATATATTTTGAAATTTTTAAAATCCTTTAAACACACGCTAACGAATTTAATTTGTTTATTAATTAAATTTTAATTTAAACGAGCAAAAATATAATCATTTTAAAAATTATTTAATGTTAGTTTTTAACTATTGTCTCCAAAGAGTTAGTCATAAATAATTTCTTAAAAATAATATGGAAAATATATGAATATATTTTAATAAAAATTTTTATATTATTATATTTATTATTGGAATTTCAAAGCAGCTACAAATATATTCATCACTTTTGTAAAAACAAAACAAAAAACAAGTGTTTTAGATTTTAAGTATAGATAATGCCTTAATAAATTCAATAATTGAAAATACTTCTTTTTCATTTCAAAGTGGTTTATTATTACACTTATTATAAAAATAATTAACAATGAATAAAATATTCGTGTTGCTGTAAAGCTAGACTTTCTTTGTATAGTGACAAAGAAGCTTTATTAAAATTTAGAGGGGTTTTGAATAGCAAAGAAAGAAATAAAGGACAAACACAAAAATTTATTTTTAATTTTATTGAAGTTTGGCTGACCATACAACGCTGTTCGAGTATTGCCAAGTACTCTTCATCAGTGGTCTTTGGAATAATCGAATTTTTATTTAATTAGTTTATAGTCCGTATATAATTTGTTTGGACTGCAAGTGACAGGCTTAGAACTCGTGCCTGTCAAATTAGAAGCGATGACTAATCGTGTTTAACCACAAGAAGCCAAGGCTGCACAAACTTTCAATGGTCAAGTTCCAGGTTTTATTGTCACTTATTTTTATTTAATTAGTGACACCAACCAAAGCACTTGCCGTGCTTTAAATTAGAACGAGCTTATAAACTACAGCTTTATTTTTTGGAAACACAAGTTCAACGAATTGAAAGTTAACTTTTTGGGTTCGCCTATTCTTTATTTTTTTTTTCCAATAATTAACAATTACAATTTTAAAGGTTCTACTAGTGTTTTAATCTTTTTAACCGAACGTTCAGCAGGTCTTATAGTTAAATGTTTGCCAAATATAGTGAACTCAATATTTCCTAAACGCATGCCGAAATTGCATTCACTTTTTGGTATTGTACGTAAATGATCATCTTCGCCTAGAACTTTTAACACATTTTTAGTTTCCAACACAATAATTCCTGCTAAACCCAGTAAAGTTGAAGATTTTGACTCGATCACACGTATGTTTGCACCATGCAAATCCATTTTCACTAGTAATTTACTAAAAGCATCATATGTGGGTTCGTGCAATTGAGGAATTGTATCACCTTCGTTCAAACCAAGATGTTCTTGTGCATATCCTTTCCACAGTTGGTGTAGTGGTAAGAATTCCTTGTATTTTAATTGACGTGTTGGTAATGTAAATAAACCCAGACTGGCATATTCTCGTCTAGTCATGATTGTTGATTTCGTTTTACGCCGTTTCTTCTCTGTATGTTGTTTCTTGCTTTTTGTACCATGTAGCATTGTGACATGATCTGGTAA